AAATGTATAGCTTACTTTTGTTTAATAAAGCGCACGCAACTAGCCTGACAGAGGGTTAATTAAAAAAAAAAAAAAAATATGTTAAGCTTCTGTGTTCTAAGACTTGAACTAATAGAATAATAATAAAAGACTAATTTCTTGACTTTTTTATCAGAAGCATCCAGTGTTCTGTATCCACTTGTATAGTAGTATAAGTAATTTATGATAGATTTTAGATTTTTATAAAAATAAAAAAATACTGTATATTTAAATATATAAGATAATCAATAAAATCATATTTATATTTTTTTATTGATATATATATATTATTCAATTATCTTATAAGAAACTTTATACTACTTAAAATTCAGGGTCAAACTTAAATAGATAAAAATTTTTAGAAAAATTGAAAAAAAGTACTATTAGAATTCAATAAGTAATAAAAGAATAAATATTATATATTCAAAACAAGTCTTTTATTATTAGACAAAATTATATAATATTTCTTTATATGTAGAAAAACAGCATGACTTCAATTTTTTTTTTTTTCAGAATTTTCTTGTCATTAGTAAAAAGGATGTTTTATGATTTTTGGATTATAAAAATCAAGTTTTTGTTTAAAAAGAAATATTAATAAATAAAAAGAGAAATTGAAATGATATTTGAAATTTTTTTCAAGTTGGTTTAAAGAAAGTAGTGAGACTTTATTAGTCAAGAAGTATAAAAACCTCTTGCAAATATCTTTTTGTGTGTAATTAGAGGATTAGTAAAAAGAGTTGATCCAATAATAATAATTTAAAAAAATCTAATCAACTATCTTATTAAATAATTTTTAATCTAATAGTTAGCTTAAAAAATATTAATTTAAGAAGTTTTTCTTTTAATATTATATATTTTTTGAATTTGATATCTATGCTATCAATATATAGTATATATTTTTGAAATTAAAAGATTGTATTATTTATTTTTTTTTTTTTAAAAAAAAAAAAGTTATCTATTTTTCTAATTCCGGTGACACAAAAGATCAATTATAAATGGATGGTTATTTGTTATTGGTTTACTCTTACGAAAAACCGTCCGGCAACAGGTATGTGTGTGTGTTCAAATCTGATGAGAAATCCGCAAATTTTCAGTGTCGAGATTATGAAGAACGAATTCGCACGTCAGTCAGAATTATGCGTGTTGACCAAAAAAAACCTATACTCAAATTTCTGAATCTCAACTTTATGCTTGGCATATTTGAAAAAAAAAAAAAAAAGAAAAGAAACGAAATTTATCATTTGCATTAATCAATTTATATTTCCTCTTTTTTTTTACTTAATAAAAAGGTCGAATGTTTTTTAGCAGGCGTAACATTCGTTTTCACAAAAAATTTTCAATAGCAAAAAGATAACAATAAAATATTCATTCACAACTGAACGAACCTTTGATGATACTCATTGTATTTGTTTGTGCTCTTGACCTGTCTATTGTGAATGATTCGTGAGAAAGGCGTGATGTTTAATCATTTACAGATTTAGAAAAAGCTATGGCGCAATATTAATCAATTAATTACCTTTATTGTTGGATTTTGCATTGTCCCCTTCGCGTCGTCTTTTAAGAACTTCGGATCTCATTTGTAATGTATTCAATAATTTTGGTACTTTGGGAGATGCAGTATATGGACTGTTATTATGACAAGAAAAACTTCAAGCATCTCAGAAGTCGATGACTCACTCACTTAAAATTCTCATCCTCGCAATTTCTTTGACCACTGGAGAATTACGCGTGATTAGACTCTGCTGAATGGTTGACTTGTTTAATGGTTCCATCATCTTATGAAGTGCCTTTTGATCATATTCGAAGAAAAGAGGTCAAATATAAAATTATGCGTTTTTATCTCATCCCACATTTATTATTACCTTGTAAAATTCAAGCTTCTCTTTCATTGCAATGTAATCCTTTTGTACTTGATAGATTTTTGATCTCAATTCGGCATATCTTTATTTGGTAATCTCTGTTAAGTGCATGGTAAAGCTAACTGACGTAAAAAATTGAACACTCGTCTATTTCGATAGCTTACTCTTCTAACTTTTCCGCATCGAAATGTGTATTTGACAGTTGCGGCCATTCCTCGGGAAATGATTCGATCCACCTGTCGCGTAATTGGAACGAAACGAGGTTAGAGGAAAAAAGAATTCGCATTAATCAGAGGCGTTTATAAAAGGAGGCACACTTGATATCATCATAACTCGGATTTCTCTCGACGCGAATTCGACCCTCCAATGCGTCCTTAAATTTTTGATCACGAATGATAGAAAGCTGTTCGTGCACTTGGCGAATGGTTTGACGATTAAAGATTCGCCTGTTTTGTGTTCGATTGATACTATTCACTTTCAAGATGGGATAGAAACGATCATTGTATTTACGTGAATGAGAGAGAATGAGTGCTTTATATTTTATTTAGTTACATTCATTCAAAACATTATCCACAACCCCCAAATCTAATGGTTCCTCTGAAATCGAACTTTTCGATATCCAAGCTTTCGATGGAGAAAATTCTCGTTCAAGAATTTCTATGTTGGATTCGATGAATGACTGTTTTTGAGAACGATAATTTTGATTCATCTTTATCTCAGTTGGAAAAAGCTTTACAAGTCAAGAGGAATTGTAAATAGATCTCACGTGATTTTATAGGTCAAGCGCGTGCGAAAAATAGATTCGAAATTTCCTTCTCCTTTTTTCTACCACGGCTAATATTTTTTTGTAGCATAAGTACAATTTTAACAGAAGTCTTCAGATGTACCCATGGTTCAATGAAGGCTGATGATTCCTTTTGTCATCCACGATGTTCTCGAAAATTTTTTTTGGAAAACAATCTCATTGAGAATATCAAAAGTGTTTTTCCAAAAATAAAGATTACATCACTATCTACATGGTAACACAACGTTGGTTATCGTGTAACAGTCGCATTCATATCATATATATTAAAGTAGTAATTGACAATCGTTTTGTCATAAAATTTGTTTTCTACGAATTCACAATTAACAATGAGTGGCTTGCAGGTTCCAACTAGTGAGCGACAGAGTTCTATAATGGACTCCCTGAAAACCTTTAACTTGGAGAATATACAACACAACGTTCGTCGTAACCTCACTCAAGTCGATCCAAGGCTTCCCAAGGAGATAAGGAATATTCAATTACTTTTGGCAGAAGAAAAAAATGTTTTGGCAAGTATGCAAAACTTTTCCGAGGAGAAAAGGGAAGGTCAGTAGTGCAATTTAATTCGATGCTATTTATACCCTCCTGGATTTTTCTTCTCAAAGCATTTATTTCTGATAGCAAGCAAGCTTCTTCGTATTTGGGGTAAGGAAAACGGTGACGATTTTGAGGTAAGCGTTTAACACTCGGTTGATGTAGGTCATTTCGAAAAAAAAAAAAAATTGATTAATTATATGGTAGCTTATTTCACATTCAGGATATTACCGATAAGTTGGCCGATTTATTGTCAAAAGTTTCTGACATCGAGCAGGTTATGACAGGTGAGAGAAATATGGTGTGACCGAATGTCAATAGTCCTAGTCACTTATTCATATATTGAATAGAAAAATATGGCCACTATCGGAATCTTCTCAAGGAAATTCGCACGGCCGAAGAAGCACTAATTCCTTCGAGAGAACGCAAACGAAAAATACATGAAGAAATACAAAGAATTCAGAAATCCCACCCCAAATCTCCACGAATTCCGGAACTTGAAGCCGATCTCGCGCACGTGAATAAAGAATCTGCATCGAGTGAGGCGGAAGCTGGAAATACTATCCGAAAAAAATTAAAGGAAGCTCTGAAATTATATCTCGAATCCTTGTTCGAGAATTCAGAAAAGATTGCAATAATTTCAGGTTTCGGATGGGACATTGTTGATCAGATTGATGACACACCCTACAAGCTTAATTCCGATAGGCCAGAATACGAGGGTTAGTTTTTTCGTTTTTTTTTTTTTTTTTTTTTTTTCGTTTCCTTCTTCACAAACTCGTCATTCGAAGGGATCGCCTAATTCTAATTTTGATTAATAATTTAGGAAAAGAAACTACATATCAAATAATTAAAGAATGTCAGGTTGCTTTGCTCCGCTGGCAACCTTCGTCAACTGATATCAGACCCCTTTTACCCGCATTAACCAACACAGCCCCAGCCGCTTTAGCTGCGCAAAAGCAAGAGTATGAAGAAAAATTAAGTCAACTCACCGCTTCAATGAACAGTTTAAGGGAAGAGCATGAATCTCAGGTCAAAGGTTTTGCCACCAACTTGGAAGAGCAAAGGAAAGCATTTGAGACTCAGGTTAACGACTTAGCCGCCGCCTTGGAAAGTCAGAAAGAAGGTTATGAAGCACAGTTGAATGATCTTTCCGCTGCCCTATCAGAAGAAAAAAAAGCATCCGTACAGAAAATTAACGAAGCCAATGCTGCTTTGACCGGTCAAAAGGAACGGTACGATGCGCAGATAGCTGAACTAAATGCCATTATCGAAACTCAAAGGAAACAATATGAAGAGCAGCTTAAACAATATAATACCCTGATAACGACAAAACAAGAATACGAAGTTGCATTAAAGGAACGCGACTCGATTGTATCTAAGCTTCAAAATGACATTAGCAGCGTCGCCACGGAAAGGGGTAAACTAAGTCAATTGGTGAAAGACCTAGAGGAGACGCTCAAATCGAAATCCACCTTGGAAAAAAAGGAAGACAAGGTTGGAAAATTAGAGGACGAAATTTCCAGCATAAAGAATCAACTTGCAGGACTGAAATTCACTTCCTCAGTTAATACCACGCAACTGTCTGATCCGGGTCATCGTTCTATTTCGAGTGCTGCTGGTTCCGAGGAATTTCATAATACCGCCACCGCAACCACCACCACCCATACACCGGATCCGAACTTAACCGGGGGGCAGGCGATACCTCCACCATTCCAACAACAGCAACAGCCCGTATACAACATGTATCCACAGTATGGAGGTTTTCAACCTCAATCTCGACCCCCCTTCAACCAGTACCAACAGCCTTACTACAGTCCCGGTCAGGTTCAACAACCTCCGTATGGATACCAACAGCCACCGCCACCACAACAACCAGTCTACACACAACCACAACAGCCACAACAGCCACAAGGCAATTTTGTCGGAGGATTTTGGAACCCAGACGATGCACCCCCAGGTTTGTCTACCACAAGTCTAAGACATATTTGACCATAGCTAAATACTAATGACATAATTGTTCGTCTTTAGCTTACGATGGTCCGAAGGAAGGGTATAATGATGATAAAAAAAGTTAGTTAGTCTTTGAGAAGCATACACACATATTTCACATTTTTTTTTCTTTTTTTTTTTTTTTTTCATTGCACATAAAAATATTCGAAATACTACTATATTAATATTTATTTAATTATCAAATAAAATGAAATCGAATTATCATTACTATACTTATGCTTCTATTATTGTACAAATAATCGGTTGAAATAAATAAAATTTATTGTTAACCGCGTTGATGATCCGCATTCACTTAGGTGTTGAGATTTCAAACTTAAATAAGATGTTTGGATATTACAATTGATCAAACATGCGCCGTTAAATGAAAAAAAAAAAAAGAAAGGTTCTCATATGTTCGGTGTGTTCGTTGCATGTTTATTAGTTCCGATCGGAGCGTCACCGACGTCTCCGATACCGCCGGTCGCGCCGTATAATCTTAAAGATGACGAACTAGCCTGATTGTCGGTTAACATATCGCCTGCGTTAGTCCTGGAATTACCGCTGCCCTCCTCCTCAAAAAATATACTACTATTCCGCACGAGCAAAGAGCGACGTCGTGCATCGGAAGTTACAATGATGTTAGCAACCCAATGTATTTGGCTGAAGAGGAATGAAGACACAATTATGATAAGGTTGTATCCGTGGGTAGGTTTCTTGTGTTGGAACACGAAATTTGTTTTGAAAATTATATACAATGAGGAGAACTAATATAATACAATTGTTGTTAATCTTCTTGTGCGCATAGTTAAACGAGTGAACGGGAGTAGTTATTACTCACACAACAAGCACCGCCCAATATCCATCGCAACTTCTGAATCCAGGTGGAGGAAGCTACTCCTACTACCACAAGAAATCTTAAAACCGCCAATATCTCCATATCCCACTCCACCTTCTCCCAATTCCAATATCCATTTTTATGAATTAAAAATAAATTACACGTACAAACAATGGCCAAATCCAGTACGGCTATTAAATACAGTATAATTACAAATTTGGGTCTCGGCGGTGGCCTCCTTTGATCTCTTAAAGACACCAGAAGAAAGGGGTCAGTGTCGGTTGACACTTCATCAGTATTAACGGTACCATTGGGAAGAACCGTATCTTCGGAATCTGACGTTCTCGTAAGAATTGCACTAGAAGATTCTGAATCAGTTTGTGGCAAGTTAAAACTGACAGATTTGCGATGTTCTTGTCTGGCGTATGAAGGTTCGGTTGCTTGGGGAAAAGTCACTTCCATGGCTTTATTATAAAAATTTCAACTCGCCTCTTGTGAAGTCAAGATCTGTAAAATTTCATAAAGTATGTATAACTAATGACTCCGTTCTATGGTTTTCGGTGATGCAAAGGTGAACGGTCAATCAAAAAAGGGGTCGTGCAAAGAACCAAATAATATATGCGCTTTGAACGAAAAATTTCGGGCACGTGACGCACACCCTACTGACCCGCAATATGTAATTAATCCCAGCCACACTTTTTTTTTAAAAATTATGTAGGACAACACATGAATTCCAAATTTGGACATTCTTTTAAGGTAACGGGAAAAAATTCAAGAAGCCTGCGACGTAAGTTGTCATACCGAATAGAAAAAAAAAATAGTCAACGCATTGTAGCTCACAACCTTCTACGTGCGTATTTATGCACCTATAAAACATGCCATTCGTATTCTAACTTTTCATTATAAAAGCCATTTTCGCAAATTTTCTGCCGCACGCAATGGTCACGGATAACCTGATTAGCCTAGATTATCTTCTACAGCAATTCATCTCCCAGATTTTCGGGAAATCGGTCTTACAAGTAACCGAGCGAACACATTGTTATTCCAAAGAAAATGTGGTCTAACGGAGAATAGGAAAAGTTATTCGCAGTCATTGTCCGGTGAGCACTAACATCGGATCGACGTTTGTATTACGCAAAAATTAATATTTTACAGAAATTCGTAGCGGTAGGTGCTCCATCAATCTACCACACTTCCTACCACAAGATATCACATTAAAAATTACGGCTTAAGTTGTTGCATTGACATCCAAAGTTTACCATTATTAGATTTTTTTTTTTTTTTTTTTTTTTTTTTTTTTTCATTCACGTTCTTTTAATATTCGCCGACCCCTTGCCATAAAAAGAACTTTCCTTTTTACCTTCCTCCGTCTATACTTTTCGTCTGAACATGACTTGCACGAGTGTCTGTAAAGGTTGGATCAAGCATGCCACCCTTATAAACAACTGTTACCCAGTTAGCCCTGAAGAAGAGGGCCCTCGATCAAACGAACTTTCTTATCTCATATTTTACGCTAATTCGAAGCCAGCAAAGCTTACAAAATGTGGGATCTACCTGGATAAAAGGGTTTCCGCAGATGTTCGTAAACGAAAAAAGCAGTAAGTTGAGGTCCGAAGGAGTTGAACCTTTTCTTTAAATATATTTTAATATAAGTAAGTTTCGTTTTTTTTGTTAAAAAAAAAAAAAACTACAGGGACACAGATGTTTCGCTACAGATCATTAAAGCACTCTTGGATAAATGTAACAACAACCTGAATCTATTTTCAAAGAACGTTCTCAAAATCATTTCAGCTTCACTAAGCACGAACGATATTGACGTGATCGCTCGTGCTGCCTCGGTGGCAAGTTTTCAATTTAAATACTTTTCTTTTTAGCAAACGAGCTGTCGTAGATTCTAATTCCATCCATACCTACTAGTTCATCACCTTCTGCTCGTATCATGATGGTTCTACGCTTGGTGTTGACATAGAATTCACAGAAATTTATGAAAATCTAATCTCATCGTTTGCCCATTACGCAACGTTCAAAGATCAAGATATAAAAATCGAACGGAGGTATGCGCACTTGAATATTTTGTTCATGTCACATGACACATGTCCAACACCCCCCTTTTTCTTTTTTTGCACACATACAGATACCGATCTATTGGACTTCACGCTATTCAGGCGGTTATCACATCTAATGCCTTGTACGCAACAAATGCCAAAAAGCAATTACAATACATTGTTCCGGCGGTGTTACATAGTCTGACTGACGATTTAGAAGATATGCAAAAGGCGTAGGTGTTAGTCTATTATTTACCGATTCTATTCGTCATCTTCGCCTCGGATATTAATTGATTTGATCATCCGGTGTTTATAACGTGATCTTGTTTTCCAGGGATTTTAATCTTAACAACGGCGAGGCTATTCCTCAACCTCGAAGATTTTCCGTCAGTGTCACCGCCATTTCGTTGGAGGACAACATAAATCTGGCGCACCATTGCTTGAAAGAATTATTCAAGACCACAAGTCCATCCAATGTGCACTATTCGCTTGAACCCGTATTCAAATTTTTGGATGAAAATGAAATGTGGTCTCCAAGCTCCTTCGGTGTAAGCTTGATTCTAACGATCCTCTCATCTCTTCAGGTACACATACTTGACGCATTTTTGGTATCCATTCGGTTACTTTTAATCGACAATCATTAATTGGATTTTCAATATCACCATCACAACAGCAACAATGCCGTCACATTCTGGTTTCCGACATAATGCAACAACTTGAGGCCTTACCGGAAGGCTCAATTCCTATGCAAAAGAAACTCACCCTTGTTGAAGTGTTGTCGTCCATATTGACCAGCAAATTTACCCTGGTGGGGTTGTCCATACTGGAAGTCTTGGAAGTTTTGCTTCATTTATTGTTAAATTCTTTGAAGAGTGGCGAAGGGGATACCGATAAATCTCAAGAACTTATTAGCCAAAAACTTATCAGTTGCATTGGTGATTATAAAATTTCCTATCTTTTATGTTTTTCGACGAACTCAAAGTAATGTGTCATTGTTTAAAAAATAAATAAAGGTGGATTGGCAACACACATTTACTACAGCGACCAAATAAGCGATATAATCGGGCACATCATTATGCATCTACGTCTACAGCCTGATGCATCAGATTCGTCCCAGCAGGGTGGTGGCAGCAATGACAGTTCCATCTCCGAAGGAATCCCATTGGCGGATTTGCGCAAAGCATTATTGAAATGTTTGGATATGGTCGTGCAAACAAACAAAAAGGTTGATCTGAAGATTAAGAAATACGAGACGCCAGTTGAAATATTTCATGATACAATTTCCCTCTGCATGGATGAGGACTTGGGTATGTTCAATGAAATGAAAAAAAAAAAAAAATTAAATTAAATTAAAATTTTTTTCTTGTTGATTGGTCATCTAACAATTTTGATGGATCCTGCAGATGTCAGAATTACGTACGCCAAAGTCCTTTCAACATTTTTGAGCAATATAGATGTATCAGTGGAGTCGAAGGATACCGATTCCACAAAGGTGAAAATCGGAAGATACTAATTATTCGACGTTGACGAACAAAGAGCACAAATGTATATATATTAACTGTTACATTCTTACACAGCTCACATATTTCAATCAACCGGCCATACATTTCCTAAACACACTTCATCTATCATTGTATCAGTACGCGCTCTCGGAAAGCGCTCAACCAGCAGATCACGTGGCTTTTCTGACACTATTGCGTGCATTATTAATACGGTTTCGGGTAGACCAAATAATCCGTGGTATCCCTTTGGTTTTCAGGTTGCAGGTATGGGATTGAGATATTAATTTAAGGGGTGATAACATTCTTTCGAATTTTAAAATAATGTCATTTCAGTCCGAAGCCAAGGAGGAGAACCTTGAAGGCTTTGCTCGTCAACGAGCATTGGCGAGTGTTATCGCGCTTTATTTCCGCGACATTGCGGCAGTTTTAGATATTCGGGAACTACGAGAATACGTAGAAAAGGTAAGTATTTCACATCTCTTTAACGATTATTAACGCCCTTTCCGCGAACTTACTATTATTATTATTTCTCGGTAGATTCAATCAGAGCGCATAGCAAAATGCCAATGGTCATCTTTTATTAAAGTCACCTCATCTGAGAACGATCTAGATGACACAAATTTATTTAAACCTTTTGAAGATGAGGTTTTCAATGAAGACAATCGTCCCCTACAGCCAACCGACATCTGGCTTGACCGTCAGGTTATCGTCTCTATGCTTTGTCAACACAAGGAAATGTCGGGCGTTGGTAGAGAGAAATTGGAGGTTGAATTGATGGCAGAGTGGAAACCGGAAGAGGGTTTCGAGAACGTCAAGAAGGAAGGACATCGAATCAGATCAAGTCGAATAATGGAGAATGATAAACCGCGTATAGCCATCACCTCTTTTGTCATGAACTTGGAGGATAGTTCCGGTGAATTGCCAAAGATCAAAGTGGAAAACTTGAGGGACGCACTTGGTAATAAAATCATCATACTTTAATGTGCCTTTATTTCATAGTCATCCATCAACCACTAACTCGCTCAAATTAGTACAACCAACGATAAACGATTCTTCAGAACAGGACACATCCGCTGCATCGGATATGGAGTCGATAAATATGGTTCCGTTAGGTAATAAGAAGCGTCGTAAAAGTAAACCAAAGACTGATATAAATGCATTTTTGCAAACAATAGACACCAAAGCTTCTGCCAGGTATGTGAATATACGTGTTCATATATGTTATGAATAACATGATGATCCCTCTCATCAAGTATCGATCACCTCTGATCTTTCTATAGTACGACAAGTCTGGTAAATTCACCACATAGAACTTGAACACTAACAACCTTCATCTGAACATTTATTTATCTTCGATTTTTTAAAGTGTAAGCTTATACTCAATAGAGTGCATTCCCTTCGATGCTTCTTTTTTATGAATACAAATAGAAAACATTATTTTAACAGTTATTCATTCAACCCCCACATTCTTTTAATTTCACCATATATATGTGCTATGCACTCATCATCTTTTTTTCCTTTCCTCAATTTGACCCTTCCAATAAAACCAAAATCTTATTCTTTATACAATTATGAAATTATATTTTTATTTTCAAAATGGACATTCGCATTCTTGGTTCTCTAGAAATAGATCATGCATGTATTATTTATTATAATAAATATTGGGGAAATACGCGCATAAATAATTACAGAATCAATTTTTCATTATCCAATCACAATTCTTTGTCATCAATTAAATTTCGTTCGACTCTTGTGAATGTGTGAAAATTGTACAGCAAGGTGGATGATTAACACTCAGTTACGAACAATGGTATCACCACGAAAGCCTGCAGTCGACAAACACAGATTCACTACTTCAAGCAGATGTGAATTTTCCAAAGCAGCAGCCACACGTTCTTTATCATTTAATTGTTTGTTCACTGTTAAGTAAAAAAAAATGCTGTCTAGCACAAACGAACGAACCAATTGAAAAAAGACGCAAAGGGAAATGATCACATACCAGCTTGTTCAGATTGATGCGTACCTTTCCTGACCATGATGTCAACTTTAAACCTCTCCGGCAAACTTCTCAACAATCTCACACGGATGCACAATCCAATTAAGGTAGCCATGGAACAATGTGGTATAGTAGGGGTGAACTCGATAAGAATGCGATTGTTCTTGTCGTCAATCTTTACGTGATCGAGTTGAGTTACATTCAATTCTTCGAGGGTTAGTGGGTGCTCCGGGTCGGAGATTGATCGAATCAGGTCTAAATGAAAGCAAGATCAGGAGAAAATTCAAAAGGAAAACATTAATTGTATTCAAAATGAATACCAAAAATTTCTTGTGCGTCAATAGAATCAATGCTCTCCTCCTCCTCCTCTTGTTTTGTTAAAATCCTGCGAGAGGCTCTCGAGCGCGCGTAGATCGTTGGATTCACATTGATTAGTTTCAAAGATTTAATTATTTGTTCGGGCATCTTCTACTAGATATAATTGATGATCCGCAACAGTTTGAAGGAGAAAGTTTATATATTATTAAGCTAGATTGTGACGCCATTTTATTATTAGGCTAGGACATATTTGGTAAATACTGTAAATAATACAGTGCATAGGTGGCAAGGCCAGATTTTATTGTACAATAATTTATCTGAACTTGATTGACATGCTTTATGCATTTAAAAGAATACATTTATAGAAAGAAAAATTTACTATATATTATATTATTATTAAATTTGGAAATACTATATATTATATTTAAATTAGGTGCTTTAAGTCAAATTTAAAAAATAAAATTTTTACTTCCTTGATAAATAAATATTAAATTTCTATTTATTAAAATCATTGTTAACTATAAATTATCTTAAAAAATGATAATGATTAAATTAATATATTAAAAAAAAACAATAATAAAAATAAAAACAATTTTTTTAATATTAATAATATTATAAAAACTTTTTTACTAATTCTTTAATTAATATTAAGTTTTTAAAGTATTTAACATATAAAATTTTACAGATTATTTATATTTCTTTTTAAAAAACAAACTCTATAACTTTTTATTTTAATAAAAACAAAATTTAGAAAATATTATAAACCCTTGATTTAGATAATAAAAAACTATTATAAATAATTTTTTATAATTACTAATTTAAAAATTTCTTTAATGTTTTTAATAAGAAATATTTGATTTTTATTCTTGTCTTTTTCTTTAAATTTTATTTTTATCTCTAATAATATATATAAAAATGTTCAAAAAAGTTTTCTTACTTTTATAATAATAAAATATTACTATTTTTTTTAAATTAAAAAATTTAACATATTTTTTCTTTCTTGCTTATATTTCTTTTTAAACAAAAATTTGACTTTTAATAATTAAAAAATTTTAAAAAATTCTTTTCTATTTATAATAAAAAGTTTTAAAAAAAAACTATAATATAATATTAAAAACTTATTTTTTGAAATAAAAATGCAAATAAAGATTTTATATAATAAGAAAACAAATAAACAATAAATCTTGAAAACTTTTCTATTTACTATTGATGTTTTTTAGAGTTATTTATTTTTTAGATTTTTAAGAGATTTTAATCAACTTAATTCATCCTTGAATTTTAAAATGATATGAAATTAATATAACTTTTGCTAAAAATAATTAATTAATAAAAAATACATTAATAGTAAAATATAAATAAGTTCTTACTAATAAAAAAAATAATTAATTAATACTTTACTTTAATTTTATTATTTTTTCAATAGAATTAACTTATATCTTAAGTTTTATAAGATTGATAAGATTTAAATAACAAATTTTTAATTAATAAAAAAATAATATTTATTTAATCTAGGATTTTTTTATTCTTATTATTTTAATTAAAAAAGTTTTGATAATAATTTCTATTATATTTCAATTAGATCTTATAACAATAAACCTTTTTAACATATAATATAATAATTTTTAATAAACAAAAATTCAATATATAATATAATTAAAAAATTAAATTATGATAAAAAAGTTTTTTAAGTAATTAGAAAAAAAAATATTACAATAAAATATTTTTCAATAAAAAGAGATCTTAAGAAATAAATTTAAAAAAAAGTTAAAAATTTTTTATTAATTTTTTATTTTATTTTATTTTTTATTTTATTTAAATATATTTCTTTCTATTTTTTTAACTCAACTCTTATATAGTTTCTTATATTTCAATAAATTAGTAAAATATATAATAACAATAAAAAACTCTTTTTACTGATCCTCTACTTACACACAAAAAAAGATATTTATAAGAAATAATTTATTTCTTTGCTTATAAAGTCTTAATACTATTTCTAAATCAACTTGAAGTTTTACTTCAAGAAATACTCCTAAATCCCTTTCTTGTTTATATTTACTATATCTTTAAACAAAAACTTAACTTTCTATGACCTAGAAAAGTCAAGAAACACCTTCTCTACCTACAGCAAAAAAGTTTTGCAAGAAAGAAAAATTAATAATGTAGTATTCAAAGCCTTTTATATTGAAATATATTTATAAAGGTTTTGTACAATAGGAGATGACAAACATCAAGCCATATTTTTAAAATATCTGTTCACTATTTCTTTTCTCTTATAGTCACTCAAAAATTTTTTTGATTTTCTAAAGAATTTTATCTATCTCAATTTGACCCTAAATTTTAGATAACATAATCTATTGTAAAATACTGTATGATTGATAGACATGAAACATATTAGTAGCTGAATATAAACAAGTTCTTATTGATTATCTCATGTATTTTGATAATATTATTAATAATTGAAAGAGTTGATTGATATTTCATATCCACTTTACTTTTCCAATTAGATTAACTTATAGATCAAGTTCCATAAGATCAATAAGATACGAGTAACAAGTCCCCAGGTGATGAAAAAGCTACTATTTGTTCAAGCTAAGGTCTTTCTCTTCTATTATTCTGATTAGGCAAAATTCAAAATCAAGGTTTTTCTTTTATTCCAGTTAAGCAATAAGACTGAACAGTCTCTAATCCATACTAAGTTTCAACTCTTTAGTTATAATTAAAAATGTATTTTCTCAGAAGTTGTTGAAGGATATTACAATTGATAAAGATCTCCATCTTTTTAAGATTCTTTCACTATTACAAGTAAAGGATTATTGGAGAATCTGATCTTTTGGATAATAAAAGATATACTGCATACCAGTAAAATTTCTTTAACTAAGTGTGGCTACTGGAAGATATCATACTAAAACAATATAACCTAGTTCTTACTAGGTCACATAAGAATCTGAAATTTATTATAAGTCACTCTTCTACTGCAAATAGATAAAAAATTACTGCCTAAAGAAGATTGGAATCAAGTGTATCCTGGAAGTAGGGATCGCAATGAATCGGATCGAATTAGATTTTGGTTAATCTGATCCGAATCCAATCGGATCAGTTTTTATTTGATCCGATCAATATCTGAACAGATTTATTTTTATATGATCCATATTCATTCAATTAATCCGATATTTTTTCAATCATGTTTTTTTTTTTTTTTTTTTTAATTTATTTATTCATTTTTTTCTACCTAATGTTTACTTGCCATCTTTAAGTTTTATATATAAACATTTAGTTAATAATGTACATTTTTAATATTTATAATTTATTGCCATTCACAATCATTTTCTTCTAAATTAAAATATATACCTGTATAATTTAAATTTTCTGCAGTACTGCTATTGTCTTGATTTTTTTTTATCGATTCTTCTAGTGCTAGCAAAGCAGAAGAATTTTGTTACAATTACTCTTGCCAATACTTCACATGTTTTTCTTTTTCGGTACTTTCTTTCTATTTTTTAATTGCTGTTACTATTTTTTTTGCCAGGTTTTGTAATAAACCACTAGTTACACCTTCCTTCGGCAAAACAGTTGTGCTATGTAGCTCTTTTTCTGGCCAGCAAAAAAGAGTGTTGCCTTGTATAAAAATTTAAATAAAAACTCAGTATTTTACATTCCAAACTTTTTTATCATTTTTATAAAAATACCTGTCATCTCTACTTTTATTCCCCATTTAGTCATGTAGAAGTTGCCTCCTTCGAAATCCCCTTCTCGGCAAGTAAATTCTGGATCACTTTCAAAGCGAATTCCTCTCAGACAACTGGCTGCAATTGCATGGTCCAGGAAATTTGTATCGGCATGGGCAAATTTGCTGTACCTCCAGGATGCATATGCTTCACAGAGACCCAAGGGATGGTTAAGCTTGATTTTCTTATTGTTGTAAAAAACTGAGATGCCTTTTTTGACTGTTCCATACTTATTTCCATCTGACCTTGGAAGCCCATGCTCGGCAATTTTTTGCTGTATACTTGAAGTCACATCAGTAGTAAAAATATCCATTGTATAATTAAACAGAAGGCTGTTCATCATGACAACTTTTTTTTCATGCAGGTACTGCTGGCTTGTTTCTCGTAACTCTTTCGGTATATTGAAACATGTGTAAAAATTCCACATTCCCTTGTCGACAGGTATCTAAAACTTGTTGTCAGTATTGCTCAAGTATAAAATTAAACATATATAAAATTTATATACCCAGTAGCTGCCAGTGCTCCTTGGTTAAGTTTCGATATACCATCGGATCGGGCAACCCTTCTTTATAGTTGGAACATTTCCAGCACTGTACCTTGCATGATATTTAAAACCTCAGGTCCAATCTGATTACGATATACAGCAAGTACCACCTTGCCTGAATCTTTGTCTTGAATTATAATTTCCTCATTTTTTTTTATTACATTCAGCAGGCAGGAGGCAGCATCGATGACTTGTACATGTAAAGGCAGCAAATTTACTTTTTCGTACACCCACTTTCCTTTGATTTTTTTTCGTTATATCTAGGTAAGGGCTCGAGAAATATTGTTTTTACATCGTGAGCATCAGCAAAGTGTTTTTGTGTCATCAGGTTCTTCCTTATCTAAAATATAAAGGTGTTAACTTTGTTTTTTATTTTTAAAACTTTTTGAACTTACAAAATTTTTATGTATTTTTATTTTATTTTTTTTCATTTCATCGATATCTGCTTTCAAAGTAGCTGCAGTTTCTACATTATCGGCATGGCAAAATCTCAGGAACCTCACAAATTCTCTTCACCAATTTTCCTAATTTTTTATTGGCATTAATAAAATATATACAGCAAGTACATATACTTCAATATATTTATATTTTAAAAAGAATCAATATTAGGATCAGACACAACCAGTCGAACACTTGTTAATTTAGTAGAAAGACTTTGCAGGTAGCAATATACTCCCTAGGGTTATCATTTTTCAACGACACAAGGAAATTCAGGGCAGCAGTATAGGTTTCTATATATATTTAAAAAACTTGTATTAGATATATATATATATGTACAACTTGCCAGTGCAACAGGTAACGAAAACCTAGCTGCAAGTCAAGTTGTCGACAATTCAACTTGCAGCCATCAAATGCCTGCTTAAATGTTCGAGAGCCCT